GGGAGAGGGGGATGGGGAGGGGAGGGGAGAGGGGGAGGGGAAAGGGGAAAGAGGAAGAGGAGGGGAGGGGGAGGGGGAGATGGAGAGGGGAGAGGGAGGGCAGAGGGAGAGGGGGAGGGGGAGGGGGAGGGAGAAAGGGGAGTTGCCTCTCTGGTGTGGCCACTGTGTACATCTCAGAGAGCTATCAGGACAAGGATCCATTATGACAGGAGGCCTTGGCCTTGAGAACAGGTTTCCAGTTTTCTAGGGGAGATCTCTGCGGAATGTGGTGGTAGAGGCGAGAGGCTGATGTTGACCGGGCTTTAACAAGTGCTGATTAGAGTACTTGTGTTTGGAAATCGTGGTATTCAAAGTAATGATGAAAAGTAGAGTTTCCTTGCTGACGTTAACTCATCATTGTACGTGGGGCAGAGAAATGGCTCAGTTAAACCGAGGGCAAAGGAGGACATTTCTTTTTAAAAAAGATTTATTATGTTTTTAATTACATCTGCGTGTATATGTGCACACCTGTATGGGGGTATGCACATGTGAGTGCAGCTGCCTGCTAAGGCCAGAGGTAGCAGATCTCTCTGGAGCTGGAGTTGCAGGCGGTTAGGAGCCTCCTGATACAGTGCTGGGAACAGAACTCAGGTCTGCAAGGCAGAGAGTGGGAGAGAGGGAGGGAGGGAGAGAGAGAGATGGTGGGAGAGAGAGAGAAGAGAGAGTAAAGGAGAGAAGGAGAGAGGAGGGGGAGAGGGGAAGAGATGGGGAAGGAGAGAGAGAGAGAGAGGGAGAGAGAAGGGGGCAAGGGAGAGAGAGAGGGAGAGAGAATAAGAGAGAGAGAGAACGAGATCACAAAATTATATAGGGAGGAGCCTCTGGGGGAAGGGCCACCCAGCCACTGGACTGGAAAGTTGACGTTTGGGGGCAGGGTGGGACAGGTACTGAGGGATACTGGGAGAACCTGGAGGCCAGGTCTGCTTTGATATGAAAAATATGCACCTCAGTTCCTTGTCCACAGGTTTAAAAACATCTAAGAGCATAAAAATCACTAGCAACAGTGACAACACTCCACACTAATCCGCCTCTCATATCTAGACCAGAATACGGATCTTACACAGAACTTTATATGTACCATTAGAAGTTCCACTTAAAAAAAAAAAAAAAAAAAGAAGTTCCACTTAGTGATTATCTCAGATCTGAAACATAGCAAACTTTTTACTCCCTAGAGGAACCCTTAACAATAACTAATATTCTGAATGAACAAATTAGGAACTGAGGTCCAGGGAAGCCAAGCAAGTCATTCAAAGTCACACACAAAGGTGAGAGTCCAGAATTTTAGCTTTGGTCTTGGGCTAAATTTGTATGTTACACATCTCCAATTGAACCGAAGGGGTATATGCTGTCTTCTGCCTATACCATATAGATAGATGTGTATTTTTCTTTTTCTTTTTGAGACAGGGTATCATTGTGCAGTTCTGGGTGGTCTGGAACTTAGTATGTGGACCAAACTGGCCTCAAATTCACAGAGATTGCCACCCCACCCAGCTGCTTATACCATGCATGCACATGTGTGTGGGTCCAGCAAAACAATTTTTAAAAAAAATATTGTATTTAGAATGCCTCCCCCTTCCCCAAACGCCTTTAGTCCCAGCACTCAAGAGCAGAATCAGGCAAATCTCTGAGTTCCAGGCCAGCTTGGTCTTCAGAGAGTTCCAGGACAGCTAGGGCTATGCAGAGAAACCCTGTCTTGAAAACAAAAACAAATGTATGTGTCTGTGTGGGTATGTGAACGTGAGAGCAGATTCCTGCAGAGTTCAGGAGTGTTAACGTTACAAGTGGTTGTGGACATCCTGCCTGCCTTGCTGAGAAGTGAAACCAAGTCCTCTTTAAGAGCAAGCCCTCTTAATCACTAAGCTTTCTCTCCAGAAAAAAACCTTTTGCTGAAGGTAGCTACAAAGGGAAGACTGGGAGTCCCAAGTACAGAGACATCTGACAATCTGAGCACCTACATCTATGCTAGACGTTGGGAGAGACGAACAAAAGCTAGTCGGTGTCCTCAGAGAGCATCACTGTGTAGGTCAGGGTCATGACCTAAAGGTCAAGCCTCCCGCGTTCCTCTGACAGAGCAGAAGTTGGTCAAGTTAAAACACTTGCTTGGGCGTAAACGTCATCTGCCAGGTTAAGGGCAGACTGTGATGGGAGATAAAGGGAGTAGGGCGCCGGTCGCGCAGCCGAGATAAAGGGGTGTGGCCGGACCCCAGCTTTTCCTCACGGTCCTCGGCAGCCCCGAGACCTCGGTAGCACTCGGAGCCGGATCCTCTCGCGGACTGTCCTGTGCTCATCCCGAGCACATCCATGCTCGCCTGATCCTTCGGCGCCCTTTGTGAAATGTCCCCAATTGTTAGTTCCCTACGGGCACACGTGACTCCGCGAGGACTGAGAGGTAAGAGACGTGGGGCGGTAGAGTTTGCCCCAGAACCCTCACAGGAGGGTCTCCCGGCCCCCAAAGTTCCCACGGCTGTCCCACTCGTGCCTAAGCTGACACCTTCTCTCCCTTCTCCTCTCAGGTTGCCTCCCACCTCCCGCGCGAAGCCGGGAGGAGGCTAGACCAGCGCTACCGATCTCGCGAGAGTTCCCCATAAGTCCCGCGAGACTCGCCTGCCGCTGCCGCCGCCGCCTCTTACGTCTTTCCCTTTGACAAGTCGCCGCCGCTGCAGCAAAAAAAAATATAAAGGACGCGGCTAGCGCAGCCGCTGGCCAGCCGGGTGCCGGGTGCCGGAGCCGCACTCTACCGCCTCCAGCTCCCGACCCGCGTACGGTAGGCAACGCTTCTTCATTCGCCATCTCCACCTCCCGACTGTGTGCTTGGCTGGCCCGGCTGAGCCGCCGCTCGGGGCCGTTCCGGGGCCGCCCGCCGAGTGGGGCCGCCGGCTCCCGGTGGACGGCGGGCGGAGGCCTGAGGAACCCCTGGCTCCCTTGGAAGCTGTTAGAAGCCGAGCCACCCGCCGGAGGGTCGAGGGAACCGCCCCTGAATCAGCTTGCAGCCTGCGCCCCTCAGCTCCTCAGGGGTCGCGTCTGTGACCTTCTCCCCTTTATCCGCTAACGAGCGCTGCTCCCTTGGCTGGGACCCTGGCTGGGGAGCGGCTCTCCGCGCTCTTGATCTCGAGGAGAGTCGCGACTCAGATGCTCGCAGTCGCCGGCCGATTTCGGAAGGTGGAGGTTGGAACCATGTGTCTTTCTCGTTGTCTGTGCTTTTGGGTGGGGGCTGCTCGTCCTTTGCGGTAAACCTTTCTCTCAAATCTCTCATCGGGATAAAATAACCATTTCTAAAGCCCCTGCTACCTGGAGCGGAGACGAGGCGGCTGTTGTGTCGTCTCCAGGGTGAGAGGTGGCGGCTGGTGATGATGACAGGAGCTAACCCTGGGAACAGTGATGGGTGACAGGTTCCCGGGAGACAGGAGGACAGAAGCTTGGTACTTACCTCTCTCAGGAGGTTATGTAAAGACGCGATGTATGTGTGCATGCATGCATGCATGCATGCATGCGTATGTTAGCTGTGGAGCACAGGGACAGAATCTCCATCTGCGTTAGTTTTAAATACGTGTGTAATACTTTGAAGGTGTATGTATATAGGTAATCAAATAAGAGTGGTGGATTCCAACGAATTAATAACCCATCTCCAGAGATAGCATTTCGCTGTTAATATTTTGGTATATTTCTAACAGACCCTTTATGCTTTGTTTTTTAACAGTACCTGGCTTGTCCTTGAATGGTACTTCCTTATTTTATGTGTGTTCCCAGAATGATTTGTTTTGAGTCATTCCTTTGGCCCACTTCATTAAACCCAGCTACTTGCTCAGTATCACCTGGCTGCTCCTCGCCATCGCCGTAATTCATTGTGCTCAAATAGCTTTAAAAATTAAACTTTAACATTGTTCTTTTTTGGATATAATATCTGAATATTTTTATATTTTTTGTTTGTGATGAGTCCGCTAAATTGGGCCAGTGTTGATGTAAAGCAAGAAAAATTAATTACGATGAGGGAAAAATGAGCTTCAAAGTTTAAAAAAAAATTGCTGGTGATGTGCCTTTGATTATATGTTTACATATCTGTGTATTTGTACAAGCAAAAGTGGATAACCTACGTGCCTGTATTATGGATAAATGCATATGTCATTCATGCTTGTCCTCTGCACCTGTATATTTGTATATTTTAGGAATAAGCTAAAATATTTTGTCATGTTATTTGAGAAAAAAACAGCATAATGTAGGACAAAGAACAGTCAATTATATTTTTCCCAAATCACAGGATTGAATGGCAGAAAGATATCTAGGAAGGTTGGAAACCTGGCATCTTTCAAAAATAGAATAGATTATCCATTGTCACTGAAACGAATGGCCTTTTAAGGCCTCTTGGAATCAGCAACTTTTAATGAATTTTGCTTTCCCTAAGGTTCTTATCACTTTGCTTCTTAAATTTCTGGATTTGCCACTTACTTTCAGTATTGATCCATTGATTTGCTGGTCATGTAGTTTCTCTGCAGTCATGCTGGTGGTATATGGAGGAGAAGGCAAATGTAAATGTATATCTTAATCTCATTAATGTAAACATGTGAAAATATTTCATTTAAATGGATTTCACATTTAAATGGACAACACATCTAAACAGCATGTGCTGTTTTTTGAGTTGGACTGGCTAGTAGAAGATACATGTAATAGTGAAAGTCTTAGTGTTGTGAGCAGAATGCCTGGATTTAGTGGGCCGCTGATTTTAAAGTGGACTTTTAGAATGTAAGTGGTAATATTGATGCTGAATTGGGAGTAAGGTAGAAAGTTGTGTCAGGTAAAAAGCACACTTGTGAAACAAAACTCGAGCTTTCGGTGGAGGCAGAACGGTCAAGATTTTCAGGGCAGTCTTGGCTGTGTGGGAGATATCAAAAACATGTGAACAAGTTCTTGAAATTTTGTAGATAAACAACCATAAAAGCAACAAACAATTGAATAATTTGCTTTAATGTACCCACAAAACAGGTTGTTAGGGATACCTTCTAAATATCATCAAGACCTTGAACAGAGAATATTGGTTGAGTCATTTAAAAAGGAGATTGTAAAGTCAGCAAAGTCACTTCAGCTGGTATTTTTTTTTTAAACTAAAAGGAGCACAAAATAGGTACTTAATAGATGCCCTTCTGATTTTTTTTTTACGGGCCCTTGTAAATTAATGGGAATATTAAATTCCAGAGGAGATCTACCAGCAAATAAATATGATGCCTGAATCAGATGGTGGTTAGGTTTCTTTTTCTCTTTTTCTTTTTGATTCAGGAGCTTGTACAGCTTAGGCTGAGTCTGACTCTAGCTGAGACTGGTCATGAGCTCCTGGTCCCCTGCTTCTCCCTCTAAGAACTGAGAGTACTGAGGATACAGGCATGCAATGCCATACTTGCTCGTTTGGTTTGTTTGGTTTTTTGAGATGGAACCTTACTTTGTAGACCAGGCTGGCCTTGAACTCAAGAGTTCTGACTGTCTCTGGGACTCCTGGCCAATTTTCAAGTTTCTCACGACTTTCTGAGTATTGTTTGTTTGTTTATTTTTATTTTTGTAGAAATACTCTCATTTTTGTCTCATTTGATACTTTTGTCATGATTAGATTGAGGTTTTGCCTGTTTTGATTATAATGATGATCTGTATCAATGCATTTTACTAGGGGGCCCATGATATTGATGTATCTGGTTACTTATGATATTTTAACCTTGATCATTTGTTCTGGTGGCTTGCTTCTATTGGGCTATTCTAGGTGAGGGTGCTATTTGTCCTTTTGTAGTCTCTTTGATATATTAATATATATCTTGTAGGAGGTTCTTCAGAACTATAATGTTTCCCTCAAACTTTCTTCCCTTGTTAGTATTGTAGCATACATGGTTATGGTATTTGTAGGTCCCTTATTCTTCTGTGTATGAATTGGACTTCATCTGTCAAAGGACATTTGTTAATTTAGTTATTTATATCACTGTGGTAGTGTGGATATTCATTTGATTCTACAGACTGTTGTCTATTATGATAGTATTATGTTGTTCACATTGTTTCAGCTTTGGCCACTATGTGTGTGTGTGTGTTTGTGTCTGTGTGTGTGTTGATTAAAGGACAACTTGTAGGAAATGATTGTCCTCTTCCACCATGTGGATCTTGGGGACCCAATTCAGATTGAAAGCCTTGATGACAAGTACCATTAGCTACTGACCATCTCACCTACTCCAGTAAAATAATTGTTTACAGTCTATTAAATATTAGACAAAATCTGTTATGTTTTGGATAGGTTAGAAGCAAATACAGTGCAGGATTTTTTAACCCTTTTCTACTCATGATTTCCTTTTGTCAAGTTTTTAGGTGACCCTGAATAAGTGGTTATATAAAGAAAGTAAGTATACAAATGAGACATTTACTGATAAACATAAACTTATTTTAAAATAGCTGTTTTTGTATGCATATGGATTTACTAAAGATGAGAACAAATTTGAATACTGAGAAATGAGTTTGTTTATTGACTTTTATAAAAGAAATTAAATCTTGACTGAACATGTAATACATGTTCATGGAGCATCTTTCAGGATTGTTTTAGAGTTGATCGATAATTTTGTTTTTATGGTCAACGGCATTGAGATTGCTGCTTCTCATAAATTCATAGTACAAAATTGCAGGAGTATATTTAGAGCCATTTCAGAAATTGTCAGAAATTCTGTCCTAATTCTGAGTCAAAAATATTTAATGATTTTTTTATGTGGAAGTCAAGCCAATTTTAAAAATCAAATGTTCTAACATAAAGCAAATCAGAGATACAGTAATTTGATGCTTGTGTGCTGAGGATTGATAATAAAAATATTAAAAGCTTTGTTTTCTGTAATTAAAACTATTATATTTCTATAAAAGCACAACACTTTGTTTGCATGGTAAAAATACTGCAGTCTGTAATTTACAGTAGTCTCAGTCTGAGCCATGGTATTTCCAGCATTGCTTTTTGGCATTGCTCAGTGCCATGGCATGCATAGTACAAAGCACACACATTTTAGCTTCAGTGGAATCACAGGATGCATCATGGGTGAATGCTGCCAGAGACACCTTGGGTTTGTTCTTGTGTCTGGAAACCTTTCACTGTAGCTAAATTTTTGGCCACCCTTGAATTTAGTTACATGATGGAATCACTGCCCACAGTTTAAGAATCGTACTATAAGGGACTAGAGAACAATAGATTTTGTTATCTGCCGGGGGTGGGGTGGGGTGAAGAACTCTGGAACCTATCTCCTGAAGGTACTGAAGGACAACTGTATTTATTCCTCTGTGTGTTAATGACCATGAGTTTATATCAATACTTTTTTCTCCAACACTGTAAGTTGTTCTGGCCCTCTGTCACTCCTATTTGTATTTTTTTTCCTGTGGCAGAAGCCTGAATCTCAGTATCATAACATATTTGCTAACTTTTGGAGTATCCATCAGATAGTTACTTGCTAACTTATGAAAGGTATTCACAAGGTTATCTGTGTGCAGTTTTTAATCTTTATCTTTAGCTATTTAGGCTAGCTGTTTTATTCTCTGCTCTCTTTATTATGGCTGTGTTACTTTTGTGCAGTGTAGTGCAGGTCCTTTGTTGCTTCTTTGTTTTCTCTTTTGATTGTTCTCCGTCCTGGTTGATGTTAACTAATTATTGTTATGGATAATGATGATGATGACTTCAGATAGGATCTCCCAAGTGTCTCACACTGGGCTCAAACTCGGTATTCTCCTGCCTAAGTGTTGGGATTATAGGCTTGTATCATCGTATGTGTC